AAAGAAAGCAATTCTGTAGTGTGCATCAGAGATCTACATTATTCTATGTTTTTTATCTCTTCACTGTGCAGCTTATGGTATAATTACAGACTTAGAGATCACTGTGCCAACTTGAATATCTGATGGCTAATGGATCTTGGAGCTATTAAAGAAAGTGTTTTGTCTTTTTGTTTGTTTGTTTGTAAGGCATGTATAATCATTGCTATTATTTCAGTAAATTCAACAGTTTAATTAATTAACAAGTTTTTCTCAACAGGAAGTTCCATTTAGTTTTGCTGACTAGATAAAAGATCACTAATCAAAAAGTGAGAAAGCAATAGAAGGGAACTTTGCTGAGCTATTGAAACTCAATCTAATGGACATACTTGAGAACACTAGTTAACTGATCTAGCTAACTAGTTAATTAACTAGTTTATGAATGTATGTTTGAATATACAATAAAATCTTGTAAAGCAGGTATAGATTATTGATATAATACTCTAATGTAATACTGCATTTTGCAGAAGACTTTCCTCTGTAAATCACATGTTGAATTTTACCAGCCTTTTTTTTTAACTTGCTGAACAGATGGTCTGGTTTTAAGTCACCTGCCTGATGGTCCAACTGCTCATTTTAGAATGAGTAGTGTCCGCTTGCGTAAAGAAATAAAGGTGAGACTAACAAAACTTTTAAAATGGGTAGTCTGTTGCTTAATGATAAATAGGTTCTGTCTGTTTGAACTGCCAAAACTGGTTGTACGTCTGTACAATTCAGTTGATCTTGGTAAAGTGTTTTTTTCATAAGCAAATAAGAGGCCAAGGACTAGTATATTCTACTTCCATAAGCAGCATATTTCCATTTTTGTAGTTACTTGCTGCACCATGTGCCAAGTATTTTGATAGTTGTGCCATTAAATAGCAGCTGATAACTTACATTAATAGGGAATGCATGGTATGCACACAGTAGAGTATATAATAATCAGCAGTACAAGTTTTCAGTAGATGCAGTCCCTAGTCTTTTTTCTTACTCTTACAACCCTGTCACCTCTTCTGTATTAAGTATTGCTTACTAAACCCTAAATAATTTGCAGTTAAGTGTTCCTCTTTTGAAACAAGTATTTTTGAACTTCATCTGTTCTTGTTGAAGAATCATTCCATAAACCCTCAGTCCCAGGTACTCTTAGTTGGAGGAATTAGTACAGAGAAGACTCCTGTGATAGGCAGACTGCATTACTGGCTATAATGGGTGCTGCCAGGGGTGGAAATCAGTGCAGAAGAGAGGAATTGTAAAATCATTAATTTGTGCTTTTCCATTCAATTTATATTTTGATGTTACCAGCTGCTCTGTTACTTGTATATGAACTTAGGTTATATTTGAAGATATTATTAGGGCATGTTATTAGCCCTGTTACAAGAAGTTGGCCCCAATTGTCTTCCCCCTATTTTATTTCAAACTTGTATTTGATAATATATTAAAATCCTTCTGTGTTTCATCTGTTCTTTCCATTCTTACCTATTACTTTCATTTCAGCGGAAAGGGAAGGAGCCCACAGAACATGTACCTGAAGTAATCCTCAATAATTTTACAACACGACTCGGCCATTCTATCGGTCGCATGTTTGCTTGTCTCTTCCCACATGATCCTCAGTTCATTGGAAGACAAGTGGCTACATTTCACAACCAGCGAGACTACATCTTTTTCAGATTCCACAGGTAGCATTTTCTGCAGAACTCCAAATGACACAGAATGTTCTTGTCACTTAATTCCTAATATTTTTCTTTTTCTTCCCCAAGATACATTTTCAAGAGTGAAAAGAAAGTGGGAATTCAAGAACTTGGGCCACGCTTTACATTAAAGCTGAGGTCTCTTCAGAAAGGAACCTTCGATTCGAAGTTTGGAGAATATGAATGGATTCATAAGGTATGTCTAAGTAATCATAGTCCTGCTTGGGAAGGAAGACTAAATCCAACATGAAACGTAACACATCTTAGCCTAAAAAAAGTGGTAGAAATGTAGTTCTCAATACAGAAGTGTTTAACTGAAATACTTAGTATGTTTTGACAAATAGGCAAAGTAGAAGCCTTGTGCTATACTGCAAGTCAAAAATAAAAATGGCAAGGATGATGATTGTCAATATACCATGACTGCTTATTTGCAGGATGTAATTTCTTTAACATACAGATATAAGCAAATTTGAAAAACACTCTCCTGGTATAAGCTATTATTGGAAGCCTCATAAACATGACTAGAGCTACTTTTGTGCAATGCCAGTACAAGAATCAGAATGTAAAAATTATTAAGCTATTTGCATAAATGTCACTTCTTAATAGTGAATGGAAAGTAACACTGACCTCTGCACATCTTAAGTAAGATGGAAGTATTACTCTAGCTGATGATAAATTACTTTTCCAGTCATTTTTACCATGGAATTTCAGTTGGTTGGCAAAACTTAGGAGTATCTGAGCTATACCAGAAGGAAAATTCTAATATTCCTGGTATTGTCCATGAAATATGATTGTTTTAAAGATGGCTTTGTCTGCTGTCAGTAGACAGGCAACTGCTACATGTTCTTTAATTCCAAATCACTGATGTCTGCTTCCATTCCCTTGTAAACCTTGAAATCCTGACTATACTCAACTACACTGTAACTGACACATTTCACTGCCCACCTTACTGTGAACTGGGGAGGTCATCCTTTTTTGTATCCTGTTGCATGGATTTGTTGGTAAATATCTTTTCTTATAAATTTCAGCGACGAGAAATGGACACAAGCAGAAGAAAATTCCACTTATAAGGGAGAGCCATCTGCCAGTTGCTGGTGACCAGAAATACAACTGCTTTGAATTACGGATTGTCTTGGGACTTCTAACTAATGATACTGAATAGTATCTGTGCTGAAAAAAAACACCTGCAAACATTAAAATTTTCTACAGGAGCAGAGCAAGTAGGATGCATCTTTCTTCCTGTTTGTAGCTAAATCCAACATGAGGACAGTGACTCTTTCCAATTTAGCTGGAAAAACTATTGCAATGTCCAGTTTGTAATTTAGCCATCACTGAAGATTTGCCATAATTGCTGCAGTTTGCAACATCAAATACAGTAATTTTTGTTATAGATATTCTCAAAATAAACTATTTTAGTTATACAGCTTTTTTTCCTGGTAAGTAGCCAAACTCTGTCTTCCATTAATCAGGTAAGAGATACCAAGTAATTTAAACCTCTAACAGTATGCTGTTCCCTGACAATATGGTTAGTTTTCAAAAAATGCTTTCCTATCTAGAGAGATTGAGAAGGCTGTATGCAATCCAAGAAGTACGTGGTATTTTATTTCATTGGCAGCTTGCATAAAATAGCCATGTTGCTGAAGCCACAGTAGTAGTATGCTTGACTCCTACAGGTGTCTGTTCTGTAAATGTCCTGTTTAGAAAAGGTATATACCCAAAGCAGTTGATACTCTTGTGTATAAAAGGAAATAAACACTGATGGGAAATAATACATACGGCCAGCTTACAGGAAGTACATAAAGCTATGTCATCTAAAAATGCTGCTCAGTTGTGAGGTGTCTCAGCAGGGTGTTTCCCATCAAAATCGTAAAAATGCTGCTTCAGCCTTATAGTTGCATAGCCCCAACTCAAGTTGGTACTACCTGCAGAACACAGTACTGTTCTCCCTTAAGTTTGCACATTCAGTAGCAGCTAAAAAGATGCTTTCCTTGAGTTACTTCTCAAATGCAGCTGTAATAAGTGCTTTTTTGTATTTACCTAAAGAGTAAAATGGCTCAGAGTAAGTTATATACTAGGGTGGAATTATGCTTTAAGATATTTAAGTTACTCTTTGTCTTAGTTACTCTCTGTGATACAGGACAGCAGCTGTACAGTTGAATTCTAAACAGCCAAAAACTTTTTTGCTCTTCTCTTGCTATTATGCTTCTGAGTATAGTATTGATGGAGGCTCATTGTGCTGTAAGAACTATCAACCCCAAGCAAACTTGTAGCAGCATGGAATATTTAAGGACAGACCCCTGTGTGTTTTCCAGCTTTTGCAGGGTCATGCAGTAACTGGTGAGGTGTCAAGATATCCAGAAGTTAATTAGCTTGTTAGAGTAATTTCAAGACCATACTAAGTCAAGACACTTTTATTTTTTGCTTGGCGTATAAAACTGATTCCCTTTTGAAACAGAAGTATTGTAACTAGCATACAGTTCATTTGGAGAGGTAGATGGTAAGAAGTTTGACGACAGTAGCAATTTTACAGTTAGATTTGGCACATTAACACTAAGCTTTTCTACAGACTTCAAACCAGGCCACTCCTTGAGGCACTCTGCCCATACACACGTCAGCAGCTAGGAAAAGAGGCTAAAAGATCTGAAAAACAAAACAAAATTTAGTTAGAAAAGTTTTAATGCTAAATGAAGCAACTCTGTCAAAGAATATGAACCTTCAGAGTATATGCTCTGGACAGCTATTTAGAAAAAAAATCCTGTTTTTCCACAGCTGTTTCACTTAACTATTATTTATAAAATTAACTTTTAAAACCATGAAGCTATCAAAAGAACTGTAGCTTAGTGTCTCTGGAAGCAAAATTGCTAAATGGAAGAACAGAAAAAGTTGTTCTCAGTCATTTGGTTCCTACAGAAATATCAGGCATCCACTTTGCCTTTGAGAAGCCAGGGGAGTCTTAACAAATTACACTTCCTCTTCACAAAGGTAGTGCTGACTGTGGAAACCTGAACTCTATTGGCTCATCGTGAAAACACTAGAATTACAACTAAGAAATTCATTATTTTGAGGAAGTGCTTACAAGAGGTACAGCGCAGGAAGGAAATTTTCCATATAGGTAGCGTAACTAGAACTGCCGTTGTAATGACTTTTGCCTGTAACAACAGCAGAAACAAGTGCTCTGTTCCCAAATCAGAAAGGGGGAAGGTAAGTGCTGTAATTGAGAAAGAAAATATTAAGCCTTTTATGCCCTTTGTATGCACATATGTGTATGAGACAGAGGAAATGTTACTTCCTGATATCCACACCCAGGACTTACTAGACCTTGGCAAAGTTCAGTGGGGAACTGTATGTGTCACTAGTCAAAGTACAGTTTATTTGGCTTTTTATAGGTTATCAGTCCTACAGATAATCTGATTTCTTCCTTGAATTATTGCTTAAAGCTGAAGCTACAGTAGTGTGAACACAAGTCAGTGTCCAACAATAGTATCTTTTAAAGAAAAACAGCTGGTAATATTCACAGTAAGAATAACTTTAAAATTCAGCCACAAAAACAGAACTCTTCAAGTTTAAAGGCTTGCCATGAGATTTCTAAGGATTGTGAACTATGGTTAAATGAGTATTAAGTGTTTAGAAATAATGTGTATGCTCTTGCCCTCAAAAGATCCAAGTCAAGGGACAGTGGCAAAGAAGGACACAGTAAAATGATCATGCATTTACTGTGGACAAAATACCAAATTATCGTGACTCTCGAGTCTTGGCTAGACAACTGTGGATCTAAAATAACCTTTCTAAATAGGTTAGTCTAAAATCTAATCACCAAAATTTTCAAGGAATGCCAGACTAGTAGTGATAGCAGTAGTGCTAATGAACCTATGAAAGTTTTGAAGTTCAAGAACTAAAGTCTGCTTTTTCTGCCATACTCAGATTTCACCATGTATGCCTTCAGGTGAGAAAAGGGAAATACCTCTACAGAGGAACATACAGCAGAATGACTGAACAACCAGGTTAGTCCAAACAGCAGCTCAGTAGTAGCTGGCCCCACTACTACTTTGCTGCAGCAATAGAAATTTGTCAGAACTATAGAATCATAGAGTAGTTAAGGTTGGAAGGGACCTTAAAGATCATGAGGTTCCAAGCTCCCTACTATGAGCACAGACACCTCACACATGACCAGGCTGTACAAAGCCTCATCCAGCCTGGCCTTGAACACCTCCAGGGACAGGGCATCAACAACCTCCCTTGGAAACCTACTCCAGCACCTTACTACTCTCAGGGTGAATAATTTCTTCCTTATGTCTAACCTAAATCTCTCCTCTTTCAGTTTAAAACCATTACCCCTTGTCCTATCACTGCCCTCTGGTGAAAAGCCCCTCCTCTAGCCTGTATTTGTGCCTGGGTTTGTGCTGACTCAGGTGCAGGACTTCATGAGGTTGGCACTGGCCCACCTCTCCAGCCTGTCAAGGCCCCTCTGGATGGCAGCCCTTCCCTCTAGGGTGTCAACCCCACCACACAGCTTGGTATTGTCAGCAAACTTGCTGAGGATACACCCAATCCCACTGTCCATATCTCCAGAAGCTCTGGAGCACCTAAATGCCACATACCAGCATATGTCTGGTACAGTACAACCAGAACAGGGGAAGAGGGGACCAGAACAGGGATCTAGACCAACAGCAGCTGCAAAAGTCAGATGTCTCTTCTGAATACTTCTAGTACAGGCAGTCTCATTTCAAGCCAGCTATTTTTAATGACAGAACAGCTTACGAGTTGTCACTGAAGAACTTACCGCTGAAAGATACCGAAGTGGTTCACAGCATTACAAAAATGAACAAACTTTCTGGGGTCTGAATGGATTTGTACTTGATGATACTCCTGTCAGTAGGGGATCATGTTGTGCATTCTGCAGGCAGAACTGCTTCAAGTCTGCTGCGGCCTGAGAAACCTAGTAATAATATAAGTCAGCATTAGAATTAACAATCTTCACTGATGATTTTACTGCATCAAAAAGTGTAAAAAATACTGCTAAATAATTCTGCAATACAGCTTATATAGATTTTATACAAGTTTCATTACAGTAATTTTTGTTTCTTAAAGACAAACAGTTGTTAAAAAAAGAGTAAGAATTAATTTGTAAAATGTCCCTGTTAAACTTCTAAGCCAGAAGGGTAAAAGGTGAGCAACACCTTGGAGCTGGCTTTGTTAGCTACCTGAAAATCCTTGTTCTAGCAATTGTTTAAACGTAAAGCCTACTATTTAAAAGGCTCTACTCGACTGAACTGGCATTTTATCCTCCCTCGGAAAGTCATCCTCACAACGAGAGAGTGCAGGGCTAGTGGTAGGGCTGTACCCACCTAAAAACAGAACAGTGAAGTACTTATTTGTCTTGCTTTGCTGTAACTCTGAACTTGTAAGAAAAGAATTATCAAAGTTTCAGGAAGTAGCATCTTCACTGGTATCTTGTATTTGCAATTTGGCCAGTTTCCCTAGCTTGGCAGGGCCCGGTCTCGCCCCGAAAATGAACAAATCCGATGCACTTGGTAGGTCTCGCAGCCAAGTCTCCATTTTAAATGCTGGGGCCAGGCCAGCCAAGCCAACCTGTTGTCTGTCCCGACTCAAGTTGCCCCCTTCACCAGAGTTTGATGGAAGAAGGCGCTCCCCAGAACAGGAAAATCAAGGGAACTGCGGGGCGCGTCCGTGGCCCTGGGGAGCCCCTCGGCCCGGGGTCCCGCGCGGCCGCAGG